GATAATACCTGGCTCCTAGGAGTCCCATGAATATATTATTTTTAATGAGTGAAGATATTTTATATTCATATAATGATTCAGAGTCCATTTTCTATCCAAAATCTGCCATACATTTTAATTAGACTTCATCTGGTTTATTGCAGCCTCTATTTTTCAACTGCAAAAATAACAGTAATTAGAGCCATATTTATAAAAGAACAAATAAAAATAGGTCATATATATTGAGAAAACAGTCAAGAATGCTATTCTCCTTGCACCAGGAACAATGAAAGCTGAATAACTTTTAAAGTAGGAGAAACAATTACATCAAAAACTACTTTTTTTTCTTTAAGAAAAAGAGATGTACTAGATAAGTAGGAGTCTCATTGTAATGCCATTTGTTTTTCATAGAACTTCAAATTTGAGTTTAATTCTAGGTTCTACCCATTTCTGGATTGTGCATAGTCTGAAAAGTCAAATACACTAAACATCTTTAGCCTTAGGCTCTGTGCCAAGTAATTTAAAGTGCTTTCCTAAGGAAAACTTACAATTTCTCTGTTTTCTCTTAGATGACCTTATAGAAGTAAACTGTATACATAATGAAATTATCCCTGGGTGTGTTTGTTATCAATTCAGAGTTGAAAACTTGAGCATTCCCATTGAAACTTGGGAAATTGAGAAAGACTGATGTTGCTGGTTTTGCTGACTTGCCTTTATTTCTCTGAATGCAGATTAGGGGTTAAACTAGCACAACTGTAAGGGTGATTTCACATGCTGACTTTCTACAAACTAGCTCATAGACTAATCTGAGGCAGTAACTGCTGTATCAGTATGTGCATGCTTCTGAAACACACTCTGGGAATTCCTCAATACACTGAAAAACTACACGTCATCACATACTGCAGCTCAAAGTTAAAGCCTTTCTTTTGCATTTTTGGTTGGCTTTTTCAGCTAGCACCTTTGTAAAAAGTTTTCCTAGTATAGTATTTTGCACTTGGTGCTTAATAAATCTTGGTTGAATGAATTGATAGTTATACTCTTATAATATCTTTTGTTTTAGGGAAGAAGATTCTAAAATATTTTATTTTACCATGAGTTGAGATAAGACATAGACCCATTAAGACAGCTGATAATTATTATTAATTATTATTAGAGTCAGATAAGGGCTTGACTATGTATGTTCCTAACTGCCTGAGATTCTATCAGTTATTCAAGAACAGAGTGGGAAAAGCAAGGGATGATGTAGTAAATCGAACCCGAATTTTGGATTCTTTCCTGAATTATTGGCTGCATTTCAAGAAACACCTGGTTCAAGAGGTTATTTTCCATTAGAAAGAAAGTAAATCACCTTTGAAATGAATTGTTCAGTCTTCCTGAGGAACTGACAGCTAACTAATGAATGTATAATGTGGACATTGACCATTCAAACAAGTTATGTGAAACTGCGACACAAAGTGACTTCTAGCTACTATCATTTGTTTTCATACATAATTCCTGGAGTAGTTTTATGTACCTGTTAAGAGCTGGGTAAAGCATAGCTTGAGCTATGACCTGCTCCAGAAACAGGTGTCACTTTTTTGTCTGCAGATCTTTCCATGTTTATTCATTCACACAATAATTTTGAGTCCCTGGCCAGTGTGTTAAGGGTTAGGGATCTGGCAGGACACAAAACAGGCATATTTCTGCTCCTTGAGCTAATAATGTAGAATTTGAGATAGAAATTTAGTTTGCATATCATATAAATAAATGTACAATTATAAATTGTTTGAGTCTTATGGAAAAGGGGGGAGGGAGTGGAGAGAGAGAGAGAGAGAGAGAGAGAACAAGAAAGAAACAGGAGACCTAGTGATCTCTTTCAGAGAGTTTTTCTGAGGATGTACAACTTTAGCTCAAATCTAAGATGACCAGAAGTTAATTAGGCAAAGTGTAAGAAGAACTTCTTCATTTCAGGGAAAGACGTGTGGTGTGCCTGAGGCAGAAAGAAATTTACTGCATTTTATGAATAAAAAGAAGGGCAATGTGAGTACTGTGAACAGCAGAAAGAAGAGCAACATGACATGTTCAAGAGAGAGGCAGGCAGGTGCTAAATCATGCAAAGCCTGGATGCTGTATTAATGACTGCATTTTATCTTAATGCAAAAAGAGAGAGATAAGATATGACCTATATTTAACAGATCACTTTGACTGCATTCAGAATAAACCAGGAGGACAACAATGGAAGAGACGAAATGAGTTAGGAGGCCATTGTTGGTGGGAGATGACAGGGCTTCCAGTAAAGCGGTGCAAACAGAAGCACTGTGGAGAGAGTAAATAGATGTGGTCCAGATTTGGAGGTGGAATCAATGAGATTTGAAGATGGAATGAATGATAGAAGTGAGGGAAAGTAAGGTATTAAAAATGACTCTTAAAGTTTTAATTTGAGCAACAGGGTAGATGTATGTGTCATTTTCTGTGTGGGAGAAGTGTGGAGAAGGAACAAAGTATAGTGAAATAAAAATTTTTGGTATCAGAACACTGATGACAAGGCCTCTAAAATGGCTGTATATATGTATGTGTATGGCTTTTTTCTAGAAGGATAAGATACAGGAGAAGACAATGTGAAAAGGAAAAAAAGACAGACTTAGAATAAATAGAAAATATAATTTCTAAAGGGGGGGTGAAGGTGGTAGTGGTGGTGGACATAGGTTGGGGGCTGGGGTGTATCAGAATTACCAAGGGCATATTATTTGAAAATTATAACATTTTCAATTTGAAAAAAATAAAAAACATATGAAAAGGAAACACTATGGTCTTAATAATATTGATTATAAGAAACTGACATGAAGCAAATCTTGTGTTTTCACCCAGGAGGCAGATTCTACCAGCTGCTTTTTGGTGAATTCTTAAGGAAGAATGCATCAAAATCCCAAGTGGAATGACATGAAATCCGTATAACTTTCATATTCATCAAAAAAGGAGTGTGGGTTAAAAAACAAAAAAAGATTAATTGACACTGAGCCAAAGAAACAGAGACGAGGCATAAGATAAAGATAGATAAAGATCAGAAAAAGAGAAATTAGTGGAGAATTTTTCCAGTGAGCAAAAATGTCTCGCTATCATGCCCTTGCCAACACAAGGGCTTATGTTCTACCACCAGGTCAGATTTCACCTGGGTTTGAATTCCACCTCTGCCACTTATTAGTGGGTGATCTTAGACAAATCGGGAAACTTCTCAAGTTTTAATTTTCTCATTTGTGAAATGAAGACAGTGATAATATCTACCACATAAGGTCACTATGAGAATCAGAAGACATAATTCATGAGAAGCACTTTAACAAAATGCTTGGCTAAAGGAAGAGCCCAGTAAACATTAGCTACCTTATGCAGCTGACTACAGAAGCAAGAATAGTAGAAAGTAAGTATTGTAGGCATGTATACCTTCTCACCTCCCTGGGGCTATGGTGATTTTTTTCCTCTTAGCTTCAAGATGGTATAGTTCACTGTACTGAGAAATAGTTTTTGTAGTTTACTAAGCTATATGATTTAGGTAATATTTATAAGACATTATGAAATACTATTGAGGTTTGTTACAAATAAGTAAAAATTCTACAGCTGATTAGTCAAAAATACTTTTATTTATTTCTAGAAAAGTTAGAATCAATTTAAAATTTGTTATTTAACTTCCATACAGAAACTAAGAATTGATGTTTAAACTAATTCTGGAAAATATAGAAAAGATGATGTTCTCTATATAAAGATTCTCTTGATATATTCATTTTTTTCTTTGAATCATTCTAAGTTCTCTATTTTCTTAGCCCTGACAATTATTTTATAGATATTCCATCCAACAATATAGCTGTATAAGTAGTCCATTATGAGTAGGAATGCCACCACTGGGATCTTGATTAGACTGAATTGGAACCACCTTATGGGACACTGGATCCTATTTTTCTTACTTTCCTCTTCCTCTAATTCTTAGTACGATGCAAAGATAGGGTTTTCATTCTTTATCATACAAATGCTTTAGAGTATTAATACAGAATTGTGTGTAGCCTTTAGACTTAGAACAATTTGTTTACAAAGTTATAGAAAGACTCAAAATTCTGATATCAAATCTGGACTCTCCACTTATTGATAAAATAATACTGAGGGTAATGTCTTCACCTCTCTGAATCTTTTTTTTTTTTTTTTTGGCACTGGGGATCAAACTCAGGATCTTGCACTTGCAAGGCAGGCAATGGAACCACTGAGCTAAATCCCCAGCCCATAAGGAACATTATTTTTTATTTTTTACTTTTTGGTACCAGGGATCGAACTTGGGTCTTTGCGCTTTCAAGGCAGGCAGTGGAACCACTGAGCTAAATTCCCGGCCCTCTGAATCTTTGTATTTGATAAATGATGGAAGTAATTAAATAAGAGAACACACAACTAATATGGTATAAATCTTAAGCTTACGTTTACTGTAGTTAGCAACAACTCATTCTGTAATTTTAGGTAAGTTGAGTAATGTTGTAAGGAATCAGTTAAATGGTGATATTAATTCAATATTTAGTTAAACTTCTGTGTTTTGTTTTGCTTTTTGGTACCAGGAATCAAACTCAGAACCACTGAGCTAAACCCGCAGCCCTAGTTAAACTTTTAAATGGCAATAATAGTATTATTTCTTAGGCTGTGTTATGCCTGGGGCATAGTAAAATACTTATTAAATACTATTCAAAAGTAATAAATATTCTTGTTCATACTTCTGTAGGAGGGAAATGATAAACTCTAAAATTGTTTTGAAATATAATACCTTATTAAAATATATGGGCATCAAGAGCGTGTGGAACACCATGTGATCATGTCTGCATGCTCTATGATCACACAGGAAACAAAAAGGCAATGTTCTCAATTTCTCCCACTGTACCATAGGTGCAGAACATCTCCCTATCTCAAGGAAGATGCTGAGTGCATGAAAAATGAGCAGAGGTTGATTCCACCCATTCATCCTTGTGGAAGCACATGCAACTCGAGAAGATGAATTAAGGAAGCGCATGCAGTACCTGGTCATCTCAGAGTCAGGGAGCAGGCCTAGGTGGTAGTGGGGATAGGGAGCTGAGAGAAGGAAGCTTTTGTCACACTCAACAGGGGAATAGTGCCTGGGAGAAGAAGGCTTATCACACAGTTTGTTCACAGTGCTGTAAACAGGTTCCGGAGGCCTGGTGATACAAGAGGAAGAGATAGATATGCATGGTTAGCACCTACAAGGAACAACTAAGTAACTAGTAGCATTTCACGATATGCAAAATTAAAAATACAAAATAATGTCATTTATTCCTTATATACTACTAACGGAAACCAATTTTCCCACTGGTAATGTTTCCTATAATACTTTATTCTTTTGCCTCCCTTGTGGGTAGATGAGACCCCATTAAAATGTTCAGTCCAATGTGATTTGAGCAGGTTTCTGGGGACACGTGGAATAGCTGCTTATATGATGGATTCAGGTTCCAGGTCAGGAGAGGGAAGTCAGTGGTCATCTTGCACTGTGAAGCAACTTTGAGGATGAAGGCAAACAATGCAGAGAGTGGAACATAAAGTGACTGCCTGTGTCACCGATGATTTATAATGCTACTGTACTGCCTCTGGACTACCTATCTTTGGAGTTCTTTAATGCAGGATAAAATGAACTATTTTTATTCATGCTAGTATCATTTTTTTGTTATATAAACTATATCTAGTAATTACAGATATACTCTCAAAAAATTTAAGACTGCAAATTTAATATGAAGAAAACTACCAATAGGGCCCACAAGAGGTAATACATTTAATTACATTTTCGTCCATTTAACCTCTCTCTATACACAAGAAACTATAAAGAATGTTATTTTCTTACTATATAATTTAGAGCTTGAAGCTGTTACGAGAACTCACTGCATCTATATTTAAAATAGTATATATAAAATGGTAGCTGATGTAAACTGCCGCTGCCAGAACGGGACCTTAGAATAAAGGAATTGATGACTTCTTTGGAGTCATAAAACATTTTCATGATGATGTCATTTCAACAGCATTGTACTTTCTGCCTGGGAGGGCTGATTCAATTTTCTCAGCCTGATGTTGACTCTACAGACCAAAAAAATTATATGAGCAGTTTTCTCCCAGTCCTTTTATCACAGTAGTACCATATTTAGGAAAACATTTTCAGAATCAAAGCAGGCTAATACATATCTTTAAAAAATTCCTAATTATATTGTATTTAATTGAAGGGAAAATATTTTACTATTTGAACACTACAAAAAATTAAAGAAAATGAAAATGAAGCTTGGTAGTTTGTTCAGTGTTGAACCCTTGAAATTTTTACCTGTATCTTTTGTGGAACCATTTTTGGATGGAATATTGTTACTTTAATATATTGTTTGTTGACTTATTGTCATTTCTAGAATTCTTTCACAGTGGATTGATTACTTGCCAGTGTTTAATTATTCATCACTCCAAGTCTTTATCAAGGCAAATATAGTTGCTGATATTACAGGTTCATTTTCACCTGTCACTTAGTCTTCCATTCCTTCCCTACTTATTGTTATTTTATATAGTTAGAGGCAAAAAGAAGAGACAAATCAGATTCAGTGTATATTCTTGGTTTTGAGAACACTTGATACCTTGAGAGACAGGTTGATGAAAAAATACCAAAATGTAACAACACTTGACACACTTGACAAGGTCCTCTTGCAACCAAACAACAAAATTTAAAACATCAGTCAAAATCTCCTTTTAAGTGGCATAAAAATGGATTAATATTTGAAGATTTCAATGTAAGAACTTCCTTATAGCCCTAAGATTCTGTCCTATATTACTTACGACGTAGGCTACTGTACAACATGAAGAAAGCACTGCAGAAGCCAGAGCGTAGACAGAGGAATGACACATAGCAAGAACTTGATAAATGTTTCATTGAACAAATGGATTTTTTTTAACCATTCTCTACTGAGAGGGAAAAAATTTGCCTCTTTCAAGATAGTCATAAGTTTTCCTGAACCTCTTTGTTTGGTTTAAATTTTTTAGAGTATCATTCATTCTCACAGGTTATCTTGAAGGACAGAAACCCCAAAGTAGTCAGTTTGGAAGTGAAAAACTTTTAAGTATTTGGTGTGTATGGTTCATCCACCCACAGCAGGTGGGCTTCATGTATTTGAGTCTAGCTACAACGCCAGCTCACAATTCTTGTAAATGTCACCCAGGAGTAGGGTGCTCCTCAAAGCCTTCTCATCCCTGAGTTCCAGAAGGCCTAACACTGGCAGTTGTCATCTTAGTCCTTCCCTGAGTTTATATTCTCAGTGACCTCTTTGCAGACAGACAAGAAATACTAATTGCTGTCACTGGGATCTGGGCAGCAGGAGCAGATGCCACTATCACTTTCCATTAGGTCAGTAAGGAAATGGGGTGGGGAAATGACTTTTGGCAGTGTGAGTCAGCCAGTTACAACAGAATGGGCCTGTTTATCCTATTTTAAGCATCCAGAGTTAGAAGATAAGTAATATGAAAATCTAATCTGTAGTGCGTGTGGTACTCTCCATCCTGTGGATGTTCCCCAGAGAGAGAAGCAGTTGCAGATCTCTTAGTGCAATCTCTAAGCAAATTTATAAACAAATCATTTATCTAACTGTCTAATTATCAATGGCCATATATAAATGACTTTGAATCTCATCTGCTGAGCTATTAGCATTTATTTGCATATCTATGGGTTTATAATTGCAAGCTCTTATAACATATAATTAACATATCCTGGCCCTTGGTAATCTCTCTTTTCTCTAAATTCCATTAGAACTGGCTATTTGTTCTGCTTTCTTCGCATTTTTAATTGCTAATTCACAATGCTGGCATATTGGAGAGAGATGATGCTTCATCTACAATTTACTTTTAGAAAAACCATCTTGCATGCAACTGCACTTTCCCATTTCCCCCATTTGACTTTAACCCAACTCAGTCTCCTCCCTGGCCAATGCAGCTTACTTAGAACACTGAACCTGATTTGGGCCACTTCAACTTGCAATCATGATCTGTTAAAAGAAAAAAGAAAAAAAGGGTCCAGGCCAATTGGATCCTGTTTGGAATATGAATCATGTGATAAAGGGGCAGAATAAGAAGTTGTCACTGGTAGCATAAGATTCAGACAAGGGGTCACTAATGCAGACAGGGAGTCCACTAACTGTACAGCACCAGACTGAACTCTACCAACCTGGGCAGAGGTTCACTGAATTGAGAATAAGTCTAGGTTCATTCTTTAGGGGGCCTTTTAGGGTTTATGTTACTGAGTTTCCTATGTGACTCCCCTATAACATTAGTTGTGTAATGAAAGTTAATTATCAACCTCCTACCCTCTCTTTATTGGAGCTTAGGTCAGATCTATTGTTTGCAATAAAGAGAAAATAAAACAAACACTTCATTTGTTTATTTTACATTCCCTTCAGATCACTGAAGCTAGACTTCCACTGAAAGAAAATGACAAAAGCTTTTATCTGTATGTAATCTCATAGTACCTGAGAACAATACCAAAATGAACCTGTCTTTAAAATGTTGATATTTTGTTTATTATTGATTCTTTTGCATTCATTTTATTTTCTAAATTTACATTAAAACATTATTATCCTAGTTACTGAGTTTTTGGTGTCCCCAGAACTTTTACTGCTGACGTGAGTGTCTCATGTCTAGTCTCCAAAAAGTACCAGGGACAATAATGTTTGTGATGGAGATAATGATGACTGTGATTGTTAAGTGACTCTTCAGTTAAGTAGCATCTGAAGGTTTAAGATCAAAGTAATAAGACTTCTGTCTCTCAGAGGTAACAGTAACATCAAGCTGTCTCAGGCAAAGAGCTCAGCTTATCATATTTTGTTTGCAGGTTTAGAGTATTAACTCCTAGAGGATCAGGACCAAATCTCCATTTGTCTTTGTTTCATCACTGCTTCCTTGAATGTGAGAATTTAAAAAGCACTGACTGAAAATGAGAAGAGCTGTGACAAAGACAAAAGGGTTCAGCACTTTTTATTCTTTCTTCCTGAACCAGAACTTTATAAGAGGGCAAATCTAAAATTATAGTAGGAAAGATTTGGGTCAAATATTTGTATGCCTTTGAGCATAAATCTCTATCAAACTGACATATATGGGTAAATTCACAGAATATTCAGATTCTCTAGCTATGGTAATCTTAAGGGAATATCCCACCTCATGCCCTGCATTAAAGACACATAACCAAACCACAGCACTGATAGCAGTTAGGATGCCAAGGGCTCTGATGCCTAAGCATCTACTAACGACATAATTTCAGGGAAAAATATTTTTTTGACCTTAAATGGGTGCCTCATACTTCTATTTACAAAAAATATATTACAAATAATGCAGGTGTAAGCACAGATGATTGACTTGCAGGCCTGGCCTCATAGGTCTTCAGGACAGAGTTTTGGGAAGCCCTAAACATAATTAGGAGGTAAAAGAGAATAGAGGATCAAGTTGTTTGCTATGTGCATCAACGTGTGAGATATCATTTTAATGATAATGATGATGAGGCTGACTTCTCTTAATCTCATCTTTAAACAGAAAGTGTTAGTCACTTGGTGAAGATGCTAACAGGGCCTTAATGTGTGATGATCTAGGGAAGGAATTTGTGATAGATAACTGATTGTGTCAACCTGAGTAAGAAACACTCAACTAAATTGGCTCAGCATAGTTCTGGGTGCGGGATAATCCTAGGAAGGATTGTCACCAGAATGGTATCAAAGGGAAATGAAGAAGGAAGGTTTGTTTTCATTTCTTCAGAGGAGCTCCAGTCTTCACCTTCACTTTGGACATCGTCTCCTGGCTTCCACACAGACCCTTCAGCTCTCCATTGCAGACCCTTTGGCCTTCTGATACGGACTTCCATGAAACACTGAGCTCCAGGTCGCAGACTGGATCCTTTGGATCTCCAGTGCACACACAGACCTTTTGCACTCTTCCACACCATCCTCAGTAGGCAGCCATTGTAAGCCAATCTTGTAAATTCTCATATATATATATATATTAAATCTGTTTCTCTAGTAAGCATTGACTGATACTGCTTTGGTTTAGATAATTTCCAAGAGCTCATTCATTCCTGTTAATTCTTTGTGGTATTTTTTGACGTGTATTAGTACATGTTCGTGGTACATCCTGATCACATTCATTATAGGCAATTAGTGCT